ATGAAGCTATGTACCTAGGGTAGGGTCATGGACCTGTCCAGTATACCCTCCCCAAGGACATCTTTATAAAGAATTAGAAGCAGTCGAAGAAAAATCATCATCCACTCGACCGCGGAGATGCGCTCACTCGACCACCTTTAAGACACTCGACCACTAGAAGATGAGGAACCCTCCACTCTGCAACGGTTGGGACTTAAACCATAGCGTTATGAGAATTTATGACATTTTACTGTAGACATTACCAGTAAAGCCTTTCCTTTATGAGCATTGAATCCTGAGTAACGGAGGGGAGCTGAGGTCCTGGCGCACTCTATATAAGCCACCCCCCTCCTCTAGGACAGGGGTTCACACTTTTTTGTAAACTCACACACACATATAATCTAGTCGACCGCCTCAGGGCACCGAGACATAGGGCTGTTACTTCCTCCGATAAGGGCCTGAACTCGTAAAACTCGTGTGTACAACTACTCCATAGCTAGGATCTTGCCTCCTCATACCTACCCCCATTCTACTGTCAGTCTTAGACCCACGACATCCGCCACATGAAATATAGCACCATTTTCTTCAAAAAATTGATCATTTTCTGCACCGTTTACTGCACTGTTTGCTGCATGACTCTGCACATGAGAAGTACTAGTAGGATCATCAGTTGGGTTAGTACAATCATCGCCCCCTTGATCAAGGTTTTGGAGATTGGATGAAAGGAGGAGAATTTCTTTCCTAAGAAGTGCTCCGGCGTTGGGATGAAGAGACTCAAAAGGATATATGGATTCATCGAACACAACATCTCGAGAAATATACACCCTGCCGGTGGAAACATTTAAGCATTTAACACCTTTATGAATGGAACTATATCCAGGGAATACACACTTCTTGGAACGAAACGCAAGTTTTCGTGTATTGTAAGGACGAAGGTTGGGCCAGCAAGCACAACCAAACACACAGAGAGATTTATAATCAGGAGTAGTACCAAAAAGACGTGTGATGGGAGTTTCGAATTTGATGACTTTGCTAGGAAGCAAATTTATGAGATATGTGGCAGTCAAAAAAGCTTCATCCCAAAACTTCAATGGCATGGATGCATTTGCTAGCAGGGCTAACCCTACCTCAACAACATGACGATGTTTTCTCTCGGCAGAACCATTCTGTTGATGTGTATGGGGACACGAAACATGATGAGAGATACCAAGTTGCTGAAAAAAGAGATTAAGCTTCTTATATTCACCTCCCCAGTCGGTTTGCATGGCAATGATCTTAATGTTTAGTTTTCGTTCAGCAAGATTCTGAAAATTCTTGAAAACTTGAAACACTTCTGATCGTTTCTTAAGAAGATAGATCCAAGTAAATTCGCTATAATCATCAATGAAGCTTACATAATAGGAATGTCTACCAACATAGGTAGGATCTGGCCCCCAAACATCTGAAAATACAAGTTGTAAGGGTGCAGTGGAACTGCTAACAGAAATAGGGTATGGCAAATGTGACTTTTAGCTTGTTGACATGGATCACAAACTGACTCAATGCTAGACTCATGAGATTGGGGAAGTTTATTCTTACTAAGGACGAGCTTAGCAATAACTGATGAAGGATGACCTAATCTACTGTGCCACTTTGATGAAGAAGGCTTGACAGCAACTAAAGCATGTTTATTTAATGATGATGATGACGATATGATTGGGTAGAGACCTCCCACGCACTTGCCTCTAAGAAGAACCCTCCTCATGTCCAAGTCCTTAACCAAAAAGAAGTAAGGATAGAATTCAATGAGAACACGATTATCAAGGGTAAATCTATGAACAGAAAGAAGATTTTTTGATGTTTCGGGCACATATATAATTCTGTTTAGATTGAAATTTTTTAAGGGGGTTTTGACAATTGAACTACCGACATGAGTAATGTCCATACCAGAACCACTTGCAGTGTGCACTTGGTCATGTCCACGGTACTTGTTCCTGATGGTCAGCTTGTCGAGCTCCCCCATGATGTGGTTGGTAGCACTAGTATCCGCATACCAATTTGTGTCGATGCCGTAGGAGTCGGTGAAAGCGTTTGCCTCCTTCTCCTCATACTCCTCGTCCTCCTCATAACGATCCCAGCATGCACGAGCGCCTCCTCGATGATGCTTGAGACAGATCTGGCACTCGGGATAATCCCGGTGCTGTTGACGTTGCCGATTCTGTTGTTGGGGATGGCCACCTCGAGCGCCCCTGTTGCTGCTGCTTGGAGCAGAGGGAGAGCGCCTCCCTCGACCGCGCCCCCTGGTCCCACATGCGCGCGCCCTGGACCTGTACTGGCCGCGGCCTCTGTACGCTAGGTTCGTTGAAGTGTTGAATCCTCCTTCTCCATCGCCCAACATCTCCATGCGTTGGTCGAAGGCGGCGATCTGAGCAAAGAGCTCGTCAACGTTGATGGAGGTCTTGACAGCACCAATGGCCGCCACCACCAGATCATAGTTGCGATTCAATCCAGCGAGCACGTAGTCCACCATCTCGGGATCGGAGACCGGGCGTCCTGCCGCCGCGAGTTCATCCCCGAGACTCTTCATCTTGGAGATGTACGCTGTGCTGGACATGCTGCCCTTCTTTGTCGTGGTGATGGCGATCCTCAAGTTGGTGATGCAGGATTGGGACTGCGATGCAAACAGGGTGGTGATGCCGGTCCACAAATCATAGTTATTTTCCTTACCAACGAACTGCGCGAGGACTTCTTTGGAGAGGGAGTTCATCAGGTAGCTGAGGACCTGTTGGTCCTTTGATAGCCATGGCGCATAAAGTGGATTGGGTACCACTTCCATGGTCTTGTCCGACTTATGTTGCTCCACCGTGGTCGGGGGCGCCGCGTCGGTTCCATCCAGGAGCCCCGTGACCTGCGCTCCTCGCAGGCCGGGCATGACCTAGGCCTTCCACAAGAGGTAGTTCCCCTTGCTAAGCTTTTCGGCTGGTGGAGGTCCGAGGTTGAGGACGACGGGTGCCGAGCTGGAAGACATGGCGATGGGGATTGGCTTCTGGTAGCGATGGGGATTGGCTTCTGGTAGCTAGACAGGAAGAGAATAGGCTCTGTATACCATGTAAGATTGAAGCGTTCCTACTCTCCGGAAGGAGAGCCGCATGGGTATTTATTGATCTGGGCGTAATATGCCGTGAGGTATAAAAAGCAGTCGATCGCTAGGATACAACTGTCGTACAGGAGACCAGGAAGAATACGAAGAGAAAGAGGGAGTAGAGATAGATACAGATGAGATTACAATAGCAGGTTTAAACTATTTCTAACAAACCCCTCCACAACTGCAGTTAGAGCGTCCACTACGACCGGTTCTTCATGTGGACGTTGCTGCTTGAGAAAATTTTAATGGTTGATGCTCTGCTATGACGTGGATGGGAAAACAACTATTTCTACCCTTTGTGTGAAAGAAATCTTGAAACACCATCACACCTGATCATTGAATGTCCTTGGTCACGCAAAATCTAGGATGCGATCGCTTCGTCGGCTAGCTGCCGACGCTAAAGCCCATGGCGTGGACAGGACCGGCGGTAATCATGGGCTGGATGGTGCAGTGCTACGCAAATGCATCAGGGGCAAATAAGAAAGGAGTGCTGTCACTTACCCTATTGGCAGCAGCACGGCTGTATTTCGTGGATGCTTAAGGGCGACTCGATCACTGATTTTTTTTGCGATTGCTAATGGACACCGTAGGAGATGCTCTATGGCTTACTAAGAATGTTTCCTATGGCTTACTAAATTCATACAAAAAAATGTTTTTTTCTTTTTGTCCTTTGCCTTTCCTATTTTGTTCTTCTTCGCTTTGATTTTTCTTCTCTTCTTTTTGGGCCGCTTTTGAAAATTATTCATTTGGATCAAGTGTTTCCACATCGGTGGCCTGGATCTTGTGGATGAGTGATAATAAGTTGCTTATTGAGAAGGTCCTTTTGTGTCATGCTGCTGACTCTAGGTTTTAAGTTTTTGGCTTTTATGCAGCAGTGACAACCCCTCTTTAAGCGGTAGGACATGAGTTTGCTGGATGTCAGGATTGTCGTTCCTTAGTTAGTCCACTGTCACCTCTTTGCGATTTCCTAGTCATAAGGCTCCTTGGGCCTTGAGGCGCCTTCGACCGTTTTCTTTCCCTCATTCGGGTATGCTTATAGTGTTTTCCCAACACACTATTTGTATGTTTTGCTTTTGGATGTGGCGTTGACATGGTGTATGAACATTAGTTATTGTTGCTTATACCTTTTTTTGCAGGTATTGTTGCTTATACCTATAAAGCGAGACAAAAACTTTTTCGGGAGATAGGATGAATAGGAGAGAGAAATATTATCACGTGGATAACAATTGGGGAAGACCACATTGGTCAGCATTGAAGCCGCGCTGGCTGGGTGGAGGGATGAAACTTTCCTGGTTTGGAAAATTAAGGTGAAACTTGCCCTGTTCTATTCACTGACTAAGTCTTGAAGTTTTTGCACATATAATCCGTTTGGTTTTGTAGAGACTGGTGATCTTTTGCCCTTCGAAGCATGTCAGTTGTTTTGTTCCTCTGTTGAGCCACTTGATGTTGTATGTATCTATGTGTATGTGAAATTTGCAATGTGAGAGCATATACTCATATACCATATTTTTTCGCTTTGTTCAGAAAGCACAGGTTGGAACCGGATGTTCAATATCAGAACTTGCAAAGGGAGACGATTGAGGTCTCAACAAGACATCTTCGGCGATGTTCGCACACGTGGACGACGGCGGCCAGACGGAGCGCTCGGGTTCGGATAGGGGCCGGGGTCCAAGGCCGGACCGGACACGCCAAGCGTTTGTTATCACCTGCCGCATCCACCTGCATGCATGCAAACCACCAAAGGCCGTACGTATCTGAACGAACTCTCGATCATCTCGGTTCATCGATCTCAAACCCTAATTAAACCCTTCCAAAGCTTCAGGCTTTCCACTTTTTATATTCCTCTGGCGGGTCTCGCGCGTATATACACCGACCGCGCCCATATATATACGCGCTCATGCCGCCGGCTGTCGTGCCCGTCGAAGACGGCGGCTGCGGCGGCGCCAAGAAGGAGGAGGCCGTCTGCGAAAGCTGCCACGTCGCGTGGTCGGCGTGGCTGACCCGCCTCGGCCGGTGCCTCCTCGCCTCCACGCTCCACCCGTGTCACGCCGCGCTCGGCCTCTCCCCGCCGCCGGCGCCCTGCTTCGCCTCTTCCCCCGCCGTCGTCCGGGGCACGCTCTTCCTCCCGTCAACCGGCGACCGCCGCGTCCGCCTCTTCCTGCACGAGCACGCGGCGCCCGCGGAGACCGCCGCGCCCGCGCCGATCCTGGTCCTCGACCTGCCGGCCGGCCTCGTGGGCGCGGACATCGCCGCCGCCGGCAGGATCGTGCTCGAGTGCCAGCGGGAGTGGGCCGGCAGCGGAGGCGCTCTCCTGGAGTCGCCGAAGTGGCTGGTGTACTGCAACGGCAGCCGCGTGGGGTTCGCGGCGAGGCGGGAGACCATGTCCGACGGGGAGGGGTGGGCGATGGAGAAGCTCTGGGCCGTGACCGCCGGCGCGGGGCGGCTTCCCGGCGGAGGGGTGGAGTACCTGCGGGGCCAGTTTGAGAGGATCGTCGGGTCGGCCGACGCGGAGTCGTTCCACCTCGTGGAGCCGCTGGGGTGGCTGGGAGTTCACGGCGACGGCGGCCTTAGCGTCTTCTTCCATCGGATTTGATGGAAAACTACATTGAACTTTTGCATATACAAGACGAGGTGCCAATTGGCTACTTACCATCAAACTCTTCACAAATCAGTGGATGGAAACATTTTTTTTCCTTTGTGCTCCACAGCTATCAGAAGCAGTAAGTTAAGAGCATTCATGGTGGTGCACGGTGTGACAAATACAGTATTCTTTTCTTCTTTCCAAAACGGAATTACCCATGCACCCAAGTGCATATATCCATTAGACTGTACTCCCTCGATCCTTTTTATGTACTAGTCAATGTATACGTGTACGTTAATTTAAAAGTATATTAAGTGCATGCAGATATTAAGTATGATATTATTTGTCTGTTATTATGTGATTAACACTATATTTGGCATAAAATTAACTGCATGCTAAATGTGTTGAGCGCTTGACATTGAAGCACTCTAGGTCGTTGGATTGACATGATTTGATGACCGAGATTAATTGAATCAACCCCTTTAGGTCTTTTTATTTATAATACTAGTATCAATTACTTTTTCGCGGGAATGGTAGGATATCAATTAAATGCCAGATTTCAAGGGATAGTGTTGAGTCAAAACGTGTTTATAATCAATGACATCGTGTTTGGTGCTCATCATTGGAGTGATTTAATCCGCTAGATAACATGATTTGACGGTCGATATGGTTTGGATCTGCCCATTTGGGTCTTTTTATATTGGTATAGATAACTAATAATAATGTACGTGCAATGCACGTTTATATTAGGTAGGATATTAGTTGCACGTTATATTAGATAAGATATATTTGTTGCACGTTGATATTTGGTAATATATCAATTACTTTTTCGTAGGAATGGTATGATATTAATTACACGGCAGATTTCAAGGGATAGCGTTGAGTCAAAACGTGTTTATAACCAATGGCAGTGGTGGGTAATTAGAGCGTTAAACGTGTTTGATGCTCAACATTGGAGGGATTTGAACCGCTAGATAACATGATTTGACGATGGAGATGTTTTGGATCTGCACATTTGGGTCTTTTTATATTGGTATGTATGTATGTATGTATGTATGTACGTACTCTCAGGAGTACACAATCATTTTCCTATATATATATATATATATATATATATATATATATATATATATAAAATATTGGTATAGATACAAAATCATTTAGTCTTATCCTAAGTTAAGACTAGTAGAATGCCCGTGCGTTGTCACGGGCAATGGATACATTTTTTGCTGGTTGCATATATAAATATTTTAGTGGTTCAACATCTGTCGTGTACTTACAATTCTTATACACACCAACTGATATTATCAAACTTTGTTACAACACCATATCCACACCCAGCCGCTACTATCACAGTGGGTACGTTGCTACTTAGTAAACAAATAAGTAATAATCATTTTAACTCTACAACATACCGTAAATTTATTGTTAATGATGGGGAATCTACTTGGTTTTTGCTTGTTTGGTGGCATGGGGCTACCCCTTTATGTTCTTCCTTCCCTCTTCCTTTTTCCTTCTGTGGGAATTCTGAGATAACTATTTATCATCTTGCCTACTTTGGTTGCCATTTGGCCTTCCGTCGCTCCCTTTCTCATGCAGATTTGGAACAGTGGCATCAGCTTGCTGCCACCTTCCCCTCGCTCTCGGAGACTTCAGATTCGGTGGTCTAGCCTCATTTCTCCTCGGGGTGTTTTATTGGTGAAGTCGCTTTAACGCAAGCTCATTTCAGGTTCTATTACTCTGAAGTTCAAGGGTGTTTGGAGGGCTTGTGTTCTGCTTGAAATCTAGATCTTCCTTTGGCAAGCTATTTGTGGAAAGCTCCATGCTACTGCATGTTGGGATCAAATTCGGAAGCGTAATGCTCGGGTTGCGGCTATGTGCTCTCTTTGTTCTCAGCCAGAAGATTCTAACCATATTTTATCTTCTTATGATTTTGCGATCCTACCGTGGAGCTGTACTCGGCGGTCTCCGTCTAGTTTCGCTCAGTTATTACTTATTGTCAGTTCTTTGTTTGGGTAGTTGTGGCGTGTTTTCTGGCCTGGCTTTGCTGCAGTCATTTGGGCTCTCTGGATGACCCGAAATAAGTTTACCATTGAACATGTGTTCCCTTCGAAACCAGTTGACATTATTTTTAAATCTCTTAAAGCCTTTGATTAATACCTGCGATGTGGACGCCACAGATATGCTTATCTCACGCGCCAGGGCTATGGCTATCTCTCTATATCCAAGGGCGCAACCTACTGCTTAGCAATCGTCAGGTTGTCTTTAGCTAGCTTCTATTTTTGGTACCTGGTTGTGGCCTGTGTGCCTAAAGTTGAACTTGGTCTGTTGGGTTGTGCATGTTGTTGTGCTGCCGTGGCATTTGATTGTATGGGTGTGACAATGTTGTGAACCTTCTATGGCTTTATTTGTAAAGTTGGGCAATGGTCTTTTCTCTAAAAAGAAGTGTTTACCATTGATTTGATGGCACCCAAACTATTCTTTTAAATGATATATCTCTGCAACCCTATACAAGAAATAAAGGCATTTCTTTGCAAATGGAACTAAATCCCAAGGAATATTTTTGTGCAAAGATACTTTTGAACATTGTAACATAATAGCGAGAAATAACTCTGATATGCTCCTTGCTTCTGTATGATTAAAATATCCACCTTTCAAATGAGAACGGGTGTCACCACCACCATTGCTGACCACAAACTCCCATTCGTAATATTGCTAAGAGTAGTAAAGATTACATGAACCCATCCTAGCAACAGGATAATTGGGAACAATGAAAGAACAATTAGAACTATACATACGAAAATAAGCTAGCGCTCGCAGTGTTCCCTAAAATAAAATTTGGACAACATGCCAACGCAGCAAAAAAAAAACCTTCTCAACAGAAGTTGTTGTACTACATATAGAAAGTGATAATCAACATCAAGGCAGGGAAGAAATTAAAAAGAAGACGCATGCTACTTGCATCCAATTAGGATAAAGAACATGGCAAGTATCACTTGTGAGCCGACTGGGATAGAAATACATAAAGGATCCATCAACACCCAACCATTTTACAATTAACTGCATTCATTTGACATTATTTAGCATAAAATAAATTGGAACGAAATAGTCCGACGTAAAAGGAAGTACTGCAGAGGGGAATTGATGCATGTAACCCATTCCTTGCGCGTCCGACAACAGGAGGTGGAGCCTGTGGAAACACAAAGAAGGATAAGCCCAAAAGCATGATGCAACCCAATCCAACGTAAGGGAGAGGGAAAGTGGCACTCTAGCTCTGAAAAAAAGACCTCATTTCTAGAATTCACCTACACTCAATGTCGTTGTTCGCTCGCCAAAGGAGGGCTCGACGTGGACTCGCCGTTTCCATTCACGTGTTTGGCACGCCCATCCCCATAGTTGTGGTCGACTACACCATACCACACCATCAAGACCGATCTCAAACAATATTGGTCTTGTCCTCTGCGATGTCACTGCCCTAGCGCATGCCAGACATGTCCTACTACCGACTTCAGGACACCGGCCATGACCTCCAAGAGGAGGAGCACAAGTCCGGCTCCAAGGCCTCATGGCAATAGCCGCCAGACCATTGGTTTCACAAGGAGAAGCAATGGTAGCACCGGAGGACGAGGTTAGAGCATTTTTAATAGACGGTTCATATGTAAAAATAACCAACTTTTGGATCTTTTGAGGCAAAAAACAGCTCTCCAACATATGGTTCATATGCAAAAAAATAATTACATCTCCGCCTCCTGGTGATGCAAAATTCAACACCTCGAGGTGCAAATTTACATCTCCGGAGGCAGGAGATGTAAAAACCGCGGCCGCGCGCCAACGCCCAACCGCTCTTCATTTCCTTTCCCCCCCTCCCCACTTCTTCCTCCCGCCCGCCGCGCCTGTAACACCCTCGATGCGACTATATCTCCCACGTGTCGAGGCACGACTTAGAGGCATAATCGCATTGAAGGAATATGTCGCAAGTTAGGCAATCTTCACAACATCCCATGTAATATAGATAATAAGAAGGGGAGATAACATAGTTGGCTTACACTCGCCACGTCAATCAAGTACATAAATAACATTACATCATCCAAACACTCATGGCCCGACTACGGCGCCAAAATAAAAGATAACCCAACATGCGACACGGTCCCGATCACCCCCAACTGGACACCACTACTGATCATCAGGAAAGGAAACATAGTAACGTTGAGAGTCTTTGTCGAACTCCCAGTTGAGCTCAAGCGCGTCTTTTGAAGCGGAATCATCAGGCCCTGCATCTGGTGTAATAGTAATATGTGAGCCACAGGGACTCAGCAATCTCGCACCCTCGCGATCAAGGCTATTTAAGCTTATAGGTAAGGCAAGGTAAAATATGTGGAGCTGCAGCAAGCGACTAGCAAAAATATGGTGGCTATCCTGTTCGCAAGAGAGAGAGCGAGAAGAGGAGGCAAAGCGCGAGCAAGAAACTAGAGAGCAACCTGCACAAACATTACTCCAACACCGTGTCCACTTCCCGGACTCCGCCGAGAAGAGGCCATCACGGTAACACACTCAGTTGATTCATTTTAATTAAGTTAAGGTTCAAGTTATCTACAACCAGACATTAACAAATTTCCATCTGCCCATAACCGCGGGCACGGCTTTCGAAAGTTCAAATCCCTGCAGGGGAGTCCCAACTTAGCCCATGACAAGCTCTCACGGTCAACAAAGGAATAGACCTCCTCCCAAGACGTTCCGATCAGACTCGGTATCTCGGTTCTTCAAGACACTTCGACAGGTTAAAACAAGACCAGCAACACCGCCCGAATGTGCCGACAAATCCCGATAGGAGCTGCACATATCTCGTTCTTAGGGCACACTCAGATGAGACATCCTACGAGTAAAACCAACCCTGAAGTTGCCCCGAGGTGGCCCCGCAGTCTACTCGGTCGGACCAACACTCAGAGG